ATGTACAATTGTTTCAAATAAAATAATAAGTTCAATAAGTAAGTAATGCACTCAACCGTTTAAAGTTTGCTGCACAACATTTAGACAAGCCTGTGAAATACTGGGAGAATATAGTCTGGTCCGATGAGACAAAAATTGTACTCTTTGGATGCCATAATACACACCCTGTTTGGAGGTCAAATGGCACTGCACGTCACCCCAAAACGTCATGGTGTAGCACTGGCAAAATTCATATAATTGAAGGAAGGATGAATGGAAAAATGAATCGAGACATTCTTGAAAGAAATCTGCTGCCATCTACCAGGATGATGAAGATGAAATGAGGGTGGACATTCCAGCGAGACAATGATTCCAAACACACAGCCAAGGAAACTCTCATTTGGTTTCAGAAAAAGAAAGTAAAGCTGCTAGAATGGCCCAGCCAATCACCTGACTTGAATCCAATAGAAAATCTATGGAAAGCACTAAAGATTAGAAATCATAGAAGAGGCCCATGGAACTTTCAAGATTTGAAGACTGTTTGTGTGGAAGAGTGGGCCAAAATCACAGCTCAGCAATGCATACGACTAGTTTCTCCATACAGGAGGCGTCTTGAAGCTGTCATTACCAACAAAGGCTTTTGTACAAAGTATTAAATACATTTCATTAAGCATTTTCAATACTTTTCCCCTGGGTCATTCCATTTTATTACACAGAACCTATTATCTTAGGATAATAGTTATACATTATACATAATTACAATAAATCTATATTTCGTCATAAGATGATTTAATCATATACAGTGAAAGATAAGAAAAGCTGCGTTAGACTATAGTACTTTATAGGTTTCTCTGAATAACAGCGCATGTATAGCCGGCCAATGAGACCTCCGTGAACTGGTTCTGTATAAAATATGTTTTATTGTGTGTGAACTGATTTTGAGGACTGCGCACTTGGCATTGCTCAACGATCTGGCAAGAGGGCGTCTGAAGACGTCTGAAGAGTGCGTCATATGGGGTTGTGTGGAGCATCTTTGACAAGAGTGACGAAAGGCTGTAAAGCAAAGCGTGTGCAGAAAGCCCTTATATGGAGATGGTCTGGGCATGTTTTATGCAAATGACTAACCTCGTGCACGTGGCAACTCATTTAGAATGCTCCGAATTCACTAATATTAGGCACATTTAAGAACAAATTAATGTGCGTACGCACGTATTGTGAATTAGGCAAAACGTTTTCATGAGAAGTTCGAATGTGCATATAAATACGAATAATCTACGCAATTTGTGAATGAGACCCAATGTTGGTATAATAAGTGTGAATGAAGAATGAGGCTGTTGTGTGAAAACAATAATAATCATTTCGACACTAATAATCATTACAACATCGTTAACCATTGTAATTGCATGGGAGAGTCACTGAATTGTGGAATCGTTGTACATTGAACTGGATTCATGAATGAATTGTTGAGGCCGGTCTTGTGAGTTGAATCAATTGAAAAGATTTGAATCAAAACAATGATTCCTTCACAAATCTAACAAGATAAACGGTATAACATGATAATATTGCAATATAGCATGCAAGGATATATGGAGTTCTGACTCCATGTACACAGACTTTTTAAAATATATTAAAATATAAATATTTATTAAAAAAAAAATAAAAAATAAAAAAAAATATATATATATATATATTTTTTTTTTTTATGTTTTAATGTATAAATTGAGTTCTACTTTTGGAAACCAAAGCTGTGGTTCATTGATAGTTTATTTATTTATTTTTCAATGTTCCAGAAAGAAAGTTTACGAAGACATCCAGCGTCTCATCTGTCCAGAGGACATCATCAACAAGGTTATTTTTGACATGGATGATCACAGGTAACATGCTGCAATTTTTTTTTTCTGATAAAGCATTTTCATTAGATCTTCACAGCAGTGGCATGGCAACCATCTAGATGCTACAATGATAAATTAAGTCCATCAAGTGCCTCTGATGGATCTTTCACATGCGAATATACGACAGTCACAGCCAAAACGTGAATGATCTTCAGTGCAGCCTTCAAGTTCTTTTTAAAAGCTCTAAAATTGCAGCAATTACAATAAAACCGTAAAAAGGGTAATTGAGGTAAAAATGCCTTTCTAGGAACAATCTTATATGCGACTGGTTTTGATCATACAGTTCCTCAGCTTGTGTGTGTTTATCCAGTCAAGCTTGGTTTGATGTGACTGCCTCTGTCAGGGGCATTCTGGGTGATAAACCCTTGAATGGACAGTGTCTCTCTGCCTGCCCAGATGCTGATGGACAGCTTGTCGTCCGTAGCTGCTGTTTACCGTCATGTAGTTTGTGGGTTGCAGTAGGTTTGCGATACTGAACTGTGTGCCTCCATCATGTGGACAGTGTTCTGCACTCATCTTCTGTGTCATTTGCAGTGTGTCTGGAATTTATTGATGCGAACTGTGCAGAATGAATGATTTATCCAGAATGGTGGTTAGTAGTGTGAATCAATATGTACGACAAGTATGGAGATAATTCACTTGTTTGTTAAGCTAATGTGACAGTATGGTGGAGTGGAACATGCTCAATCAGCACAGCTGTCCAAAAATGTGTCTCTCTCTCTTCTGTTCTTCTCTGCTTTCTGTCTATTAGCCTTCTCCAGTCAATCTCATTTGTCCTTCTCTTCCTTCCTGCCCCCCCCCCTCCCCCCCTTCATTTTCACTTTCCTTCTCATTTCTTTCTTTATTTGTTTATTTCTTTCTGTTCATTTTGGTTCTTGTTTTTCTCTTTTCCTTCCTTTTTTGCTGTTTTTTTTGTTGCTTTTTCTTATCTTTCCTTTTCCTTCCTTCCTTCTATCCTTTCATCTTTTCCTTACTACTTATGTTCAAATTTGGTTTCTGTCTTTCCCTTTTCCTTCCGTTTTTGCTTTCTTGTTTTTTGGCTTTCTTCATGGCTTTCTTCCTTTTCCTTTCTTCCTTTCTTCCTTTCTTTCTTTCTTTTGTTCATTCCTTCCTTCCTTCTGTTGTCTTTCTTCCTGTCTTTTCTTTTCCGTCCTTCTTTATTTCCTTCCTTCTATCCTTTCATTTTTTATTTTATTTCTTTACTTCCTATGTTTGATTTGGTTCCTGTCTTTCTCTTTCCCTTCCTTCCTTCCTTCATTCCTTACTTACTTACCTCTATCCTTTCATTCTTTCCTTACTCCTTCCTTTCTTCCTTTCTTTCTTTCTTTTGTTCATTCCTTCCTTCCTTCTGTTGTCTTTCTTCCTGTCTTTTCTTTTCCGTCCTTCTTTATTTCCTTCCTTCTATCCTTTCATTTTTTATTTTATTTCCTTACTTCCTATGTTTGATTTGGTTCCTGTCTTTCTCTTTCCCTTCCTTCCTTCCTTCATTCCTTACTTACTTACCTCTATCCTTTCATTCTTTCCTTACTTCCTATGTTCACTTTGGTTTCTGTCTTTTCCTTTTCCTTCCTGTTTTGCTTTCTTCCTTTTTTTGCTCTCGTCCTGTTTTTCCCCTTCCTCCTTTCCTTCTTTCCTTCCTTCCTTCCTTCCTCCCTCCCTTTCTTTATTTCCTTTTCCTTTGTTCTTTCCTTCTGTTGTTTTTCTTCCTGTCTTTTCTTTTCCATACTTCTTTATTTCATTCCTTCTTCCTTCTATCCTTTAATTTTTTATTTTATTTCCTTACTTCCTATGTTTACTTTGGTTCCTGTCTTTCTCTTTTCCTTCCTTCCTTCTGCTTGTATTTCTTTTTTTTTTTTGCTTTTTGCCTTTGTATATTCATTATATTCTTCCTTCCTGTCTTTCTTTTTGTTTCCTTTATTTTCCTTCCATTCCTATGTTTCTCCTTTTCTTCCTCCCTGTCTTTTCTCTTCTCTTCTTCTCTTCTCTTCTCTTCTCTTCTCTTCTCTTCTCTTCTCTTCTCTTCTCTTCTCTTCTCTTCTCTTCTCTCCTCTTTTCCCTTCCTTTCTTTCCACAGTCCACAGTGTCCCCCCGATATGTGTCCCAGTTCCCTTCGCTTCTTCTCCAAATTTGAGAGCGGGAACCTGCGAAAAGCCTTTCAGGTCCGCAGGTGAGACCCTTACATTACAATACTGCACACGTACACAAGCACACACACACGCAAACATGTACTGCAGACAGCTCGCCGAGTGCCCTTGGGCCTCATTTGTAGTGCATTCGCAATCACGCTCTCTCTCTCGTTCTTATGTTTCTACTCTTTCAGCAAGCTTGTCTTGTCAATGCATGCAAGATCAAATCAAAGATGCTGTCTACAGAGCAGTTCCGATGCGCTTAAATAAAAGAGCCGACGTTATATTTTTCCAAATGAAATGTGGCGGCGTAACAACAGATAGGGATGGAGTGAGAGATTTATTGCTGTCATTTACGTAACACGTTTCTCAGTCTCTCTCTCTCTCATTACTTCTCTCCTATTCTCTCTTATGCCCACTTTTGTCTGATTTTCTCCTGTCTGTCTCTCTTTTGCACTCTCTCTTAGTCATGAATATGATTTGATTCTCAATGCTGATGTCAACTCCTCTGCACACTGTCAATGGTTCTACTTTGAAGTCAGTGGCATGGTGGCCGGCGTGCCTTATCGTTTCAACATCATCAATTGTGAGAAAGGAAACAGCCAGTATAACTATGGTAAGCCATACAGTAGCAACTTACTATAAAGCCATGTGATTTACACAAGTAGGACATCCTGTTCTTGGATCAGCACATATTGTTACAGGCACCAGAGTTACTATACTTCACCTCAAATTACCCCAGATTGATCCAGGAGCATGTTCTACTTGTGTAAATAATGTGTTTGTTGCATGAGGGTTATAATATCTATTTTTAGTGCCACCTACCAAGATTGAAGATGTATGTTCTTCGATTGTTCTAGATGGCATTGATTTTGACACAACCATCTTCTCTCAAAAGAAATACATTTCCACACCGGCACCAGCACAGCCAGCTTAAGAAGATGCCACAGTGGTAGCAGCTAAATCATATCTTAGCCTCACATTGCTCTCAGACACAGCAGTGGGCCCGAGCAGCTCTTAAATCTGACACCAGCCGTATATCCCAGAAAAATACAGTGCTTCGGCATTTCTGAGTTCCTCCCCCGATAAAGCATTTTCAATGGCCCTTGACGGCCTTTTCCTCATTTTGGTGTGCAGCTGGGCATTATAAGAGACTCGTGCTGCCCTGAAGTCAGTGTTTTATGTCTCTATATTAAATGAGATGTCCTTTACTGTTGACCTTATTTGAGTTTGAGGAAAACTTAGTCCCAACAAACATCTGCTTTGAAGGGAATGCATTTCAGGGCACCTTTCTTCCTCTAGGAGTCAATGTTTTGGAGAAATGCAGTGTTCAGCACATTGGTTTTAACAAAGGAAGGTCCAAACCTTTCATTGAAAACAGAAGATTTAGTCATTTTAGATGAAAATATTTATTTATTTAAAGAAATGTAAGCTGTTCAGGTGATTTTAGCTTTCATCATACAATATTGTTGAACTATTTTGAATTGAACTTAATTACTTTGCATAAAATTAGTGAAATCTAAATGTCCTGTATCAAGATTGCTTTTTATAGATTGATATTGATTTGAGGATATTTTTGACCCTGGCTGTAAAAACCCAGCGAAAGTCTTTTTTTGTTTTTGTGATTTACTGTTTTCTAAATAAAATCATCCTTCATTAGGTAAAGAACATTCTGTGAAAATGTAACCTTGATATCTTTAATATTGACCGAGTAAAGCCATGTCAAATCATAGTGAAATTATTAGTTGAAATCAAATTTTGATGCTTGCTATATCGCAATTCGTTTTTGAGCCTGGATTTCACTGACAGGGTCTTTTTTTTTAACCAGTATTGTCATCAAGAGAAATTGCTTGCTTCAAAATAATTTGAATATAATATAGAGCAGTGTTTCCCAACCTTTTTTCAAAAAATGACAAGTAAGCAGTCAGTAATAAAATAAGCACAAATAAAGAAATGAATAATGATAGCACAAATAAAAAATAACGACAGGCCTTCAAATTAAATAAATTGCTTTTTAGTTTTTCAGGTAGGTCTAACAGTAGGGTTAAGATATTTTACTTTTTTTTTTTTTTTAACAATTATCCAAATTATGTTTAGTCCTAGAAAGATATTATTATCAGAGGACACGTGAGCATAACATAGCGTTTAGCAGATCAATGAATGAGAGGGCAGCGTTACCAGAGTTGCCCATATACCACATCATGTTACAACACAGTAGGGCTATTGCAGACAGAAACAATACTGTACTACATCGATGTTTCCTGTCGGCTCAATTTTTGAGTGGACTTTGCTGTTCCGATGAGCATGAACGGTATACGAGTGGAGCGACTGAGCAGAGCGGAGCGCACACGCATAGAGCGGGATAATACGCAGAGCGTCAAACCACATGAAAGTGAAACCTGAGCGGTGAACTAATTTTCGGCAGCCGAAATTTCGGTGCATCTCTAATTATAATTTTTTCCGACATCAGAAATTGACATTATATAATAGATGCTTTTTTGAACATTTTAGCAATTTAAAAATATTAAAAAATTATTTTTTACACGGCACCCCGGTTGGGAAACACTGATATAGAGAATATTAGTTTTGGAGTTGGTAAGATTTGTTAATGCTTTTGAAAGATATGCTCTCATATGCTCGCCAAGGCTGCATTTATTTGGCCAAAAATACAGGAAAAACTGTAAAATTGTGAATTTTTAATCACGATTTCAAATAAATATTTTGTATTTTAATGTATATTAAAATAGAATTTGTTCAGCATAATTACTCCAGTTTTTAGTGTCACATGATGCTTCAGAAATCATTATAATATACTGATTTGCTGCTCAAGAAACATTTCTTATTAGTTTTAAAGTGTTTATTTGAAATATAATTTTTTTGCAATGTATTACACATCTTTATTGTCCCCTTTGAACAATTTAATGCATCCTTACTGACTCTAAACTTTTAAACCTTTTTGCAATTGGCATTGCCACATTAAAAACTCTTTGGTGTTGGTGATTGATATTGTGCAAAAGCTAACAACCTGAATGTTTAGCAATTACGGAATGACCTTTAAATGACTGAATGTTTGACGTGGTTTATAACTGTATGATTGTGGGATGTTTCAGGCATGCAGCCTGTGCTGTATTCTGTTAGGGAGGCGCTGGAGGGCAGACCACACTGGGTGCGAACAGGCTCTGAAATCTGCTATTACAGGTACTTCACTTCCTTTTTCACTTCAGCTCTTCACATTTACTCTTACATTCTTCAATCTGCCTTGCTGTACTGTACTTTTTCTCTATGCATTCTATTCGTTATTCAAGATGTTGCACATAGGCTTATAGAATCTAATTGTGGTTTTGACTTCCACAGAAATAATTTCTGCGCTAGAAGAGGTAAAAAAAGTTCTTTCTACACGCTGACATTCACGGTGACCTTTCATCATGAAGATGACGTGTGCTACTTGGCCTACCACTACCCTTATACCTACACCACCCTTCAGGTGCTTGACATGAGCCACTTTGTATGAATATTAGGGCCGGGATGTCCCACTTATCTCCAGAATCAATATCAAGATATTCAGGAGCTCACTCGATATGTATTGTGATTTTTAAGAATTATGATTCTACAAATATTGTGACTTGATATTGAAATTTATTGCGATTTTTATTTGCTAGACCACGGGGAAAAGTTGAATCTGTACACAATGTATGAGATGAGTCAAATTTGCTAAAACAATTCATCACATAACTTTGTGATTTTTATTTTAGAAGCAATAATAAAGGTGCAATGCCAAAATCATGTTTATTTAACTGAAAACCAAAGCTGAAAATAAAGTTTATTTTATAAGTTTATTAATAATCAACACTCAAATAAAAACTGAGTTGTACATAACCATTTAAATTGCACATAAGGCAGTTTTTATATAACCTTTTCTTTAATAATGTAAATTGTGTTTCTTTAAAAACGTAAACATTTCAATAATAAAGACTTGTTTTCATGACAAGTATATACAAACATACATTAAACAATAATGAAGACAACAGGTTAAGTAAAAATATCATATGTAATATAGAGCATATATTTATTGCAAATTATGAAGGCAGCAGGTTAATTAAAATATAATATAGGTTAAATAAAATAAATATATAATAATATGGAATATAGTGTGTGTATTTATCAGTTTTCCTGCTGAGGTAAATATAAGCCATTATATGAGTAATAATACATATCAGTAAGTGCTGTTTCTTTTAACATACATTATGGTTTTAATTAATGTTTATTGTGCTGTAACTAGTAGTAAAGAGGAAGAGATGATCAGTTCATGTGCACTTAAACTCAGGTGCTACAGAGAAATGTCATTGAAGATCATCAAAATCACATTATGATGTGTGAATTTTGTTATAAAATTAACAGAATTTAAAAGCTGTTACATATCAAAATTAACAAAGCAATTTGCAATTATCGGATCGTGATGTTTATGTTTCGTGAAAGTTTTGTTCCCACATCAACTGAAAATAAACTAAAATATCTTGGTTCATCAAAATGAAGAGTGATTAAAATGAAGAAATTAATATAGTCAAATCAGCCGTGGCGTCCACACAGCTGACATATTTGTTTACCTGTTGTAGCTTATTCACGTTAATTAAGCATCACTAACAAAACATCACCATTTTGGTCAATGATTTCAGCCTTCCAAAACAATAATAAAAAATAAAAGAATTGGTTACCAAAATTCTGGTGCATCACTAGTCATAATGGCTAAAGACTAAAGCAAATGTATTTACAATTGTTCTCTAGACCCATTTGAAAATGTTGGAGAAGTCTGTAGACCCACAGAAAGTTTTCTTCAGGCAACAAAATCTCTGCGACACGCTGGCGGGAAACTCCTGCTCCTTAGTCACGATCACAGCCTGCCCCACTTCCAGAGCCTGGAAACATCTGCACCAGCTGCGTAAGTCTCACACTAAAACTCACAATGAGTCAGATTTATGCTCTTGTGTGTCGACACACCTGTGAACTGAGCATCTGATGCTGCTTTGGGTTTGTATTCAGCAGTGAATCTCTCTGTGTGTGTGTGTGTGTGTGTGTGTGTGTGTGTGTGCTCGTACAGTCTGGCAGGTCTTCAAGGTGCTCGGAGCATCTGAGCTTTGACACCTCCTGTCAGAGGAGGAGTTGAGGAGCTTCAGTGTGGGTGGGTGGATGTATGTGGGGAGGACACCGTTAGATGGGATGACAGTGCTTGAATCACTACCTGAAGCATATGTTATGCCAGGAGACAAAAAGTTAAAAGAGCTAGGAGAGCACATATGGATTGAGAGGATGTCAGTTTTTTTTTTTTTTTTTTTGGTAGTTGCTTCAAAGGCAACATGAAATCAAAACGTAGCCTTTTTACTTATACCCTTGTCTTATTGTTTGATTTGTCAGTGTACGTTATAAAAAAAAAAAACAGTTTTCATAATATCACTTTCATAATATCTCTACGAAAACATTTTCTTTTGTGAGACAAAAAGACAATAAATAAAAATGTATGTTAAATAGTATGAATAAAATATTAAAATATTGATTTATTTTTTGTTTGTTTATTTGTTTGTTTGTTTGACTCTGAGGATCCAAAAATTAAAAACAAGTGATTAAAGTTTTTTTTTTAAATCAATACAAAGTAATATTTATTCATTTTATTTATTTATTTTTCTGTTATTAGTATTTGTTGTTTTTAAGGCACTCAGATCACCTGAACACAATTTATTAAATGCAATACTTAAATCATACAAACAATTTATATATACATATATTTTGTGTGTGTGTGTGTGATTTTTATTATTTTTTTTATTTAAATGTATTTTCTTTTAGAGACCCGGAGCATCTAAATATTATTTATTAGTTAATTTTATTTATTTTACTATGATTTTTAGTTATTGTCTTCATGCCACTTGTAGCATGTGAAAAGCATTATTTTAATGTAATAAAAATAATACCAAAATGTATTTATTTATTTATTCACTCATTTTTAAAGTACTTTTTTTGTTTTGCAAGCACCTGAAGCATCTAAACTTTTTTTTTTTTTTTAAGTTAAAAGAATTGATCGTTTTTTTTCTTTTTAGAGATAATGCTTCAAAGGCAACATGAAATCAAAACGTAGCCTTTTTACTTATACCCTTGTCTTATTGTTTGATTTGTCAGTGTACGTTATAAAAAAAAAAAACAGTTTTCATAATATCACTTTCATAATATCTCTACGAAAACATTTTCTTTTGTGAGACAAAAAGACAATAAATAAAAATGTATGTTAAATAGTATGAATAAAATATTAAAATATTGATTTATTTTTTGTTTGTTTATTTGTTTGTTTGTTTGACTCTGAGGATCCAAAAATTAAAAACAAGTGATTAAAGTTTTTTTTTTAAATCAATACAAAGTAATATTTATTCATTTTATTTATTTATTTTTCTGTTATTAGTATTTGTTGTTTTTAAGGCACTCAGATCACCTGAACACAATTTATTAAATGCAATACTTAAATCATACAAACAATTTATATATACATATATTTTGTGTGTGTGTGTGTGATTTTTATTATTTTTTTTATTTAAATGTATTTTCTTTTAGAGACCCGGAGCATCTAAATATTATTTATTAGTTAATTTTATTTATTTTACTATGATTTTTAGTTATTGTCTTCATGCCACTTGTAGCATGTGAAAAGCATTATTTTAATGTAATAAAAATAATACCAAAATGTATTTATTTATTTATTCACTCATTTTTAAAGTACTTTTTTTGTTTTGCAAGCACCTGAAGCATCCAAACTTTTTTTTTTTTTAAGTTAAATGAATTGATCGTCTTTTTGCTTTTATTAGATAAATCCAGGTGTAAACAAACACACAGACGCTTAAACATCCTTGTGCAGTGAGACAGATCACATAAAGCACATTTATGAAGCATCTAGCAAAAGCACTTGGTGGTTCCTGTCTTGAAGCGGTACTCACACCCGCTCTTGCATTAGTGCTGACAGGTGTGACTGTCAGCAGCAGAGATAGATGTCTCAGACTGAAGGAAGATCTAGGGGGACACGCTGGGACATGGTGACCCAGCCGTGGGCCACTTCCACTGGGTGGCACGGTGCTCACCAAACCCTCGTCTCCTGATGAATATGGAGGCGAGACATCTGCAGCTTGATCCCTGTAGACTGACGCAGAGCATCTGGCTCAGCTAGGGGTGGAGGGATGGCCCGTTCTGATCAACCGACTGCTGACAGTCCCCAAGACACTCTGACATACTGCAAAGTGACCTGCTGACAATTCCCAATGATAGTCTTACACAGTGACCTGTTCGCTAACTTGGAACTTGTGCCGTTGATCAAAGACTGTCAGCTATTAGCTCGTTTAAATTAGCTATGCCTGAACTCTCTCTCTGTGTGTGTGTGTGTGTGTGTGAGAGCGCATTTGTTAGTGTAATCAAATCACATAATGAAAGCACACATATGGACTTTATTCAGGAATTTGATGGCTAATGAAATCAGTGACATGGAAATGACTTCCCATAATTTTAATTCAGATGCTGCTTTAATTGTTTTAACAGCATTAGACTTTGAATATGACTCATATCATAGCATTTTAAAGCCTCCGGGACTTTAGATTATTGTAATTTATTTTTAGCAGATAGAGGTCTTGCTATTTTAACACCCTAATGATCTGCATATCTGCAATTATAAAAGACAAATTTGTAATGGAATCCATTGTTGGAGTTACTTTTCAAATTAACATATTGTATTGTTAATGTAATGTAATGTGTTTGCAACTTTATCTCACAGTTATGGCTTTATTTATTTATTTATTTATTTTTGTCTTTAAATCTTGCAATTGCGATTATTTGCGGGGGAGAGGGGGGGGGGAAGCACCCTCAGTGATTATTTCTGGAACCTGGTTGATACGCTTTTATTGCAAAACTATATACAAAAACAAATGCACTAAATAAAATAACTGAATAAATGCATATTTACAATTTAAGCACTTAACTAAAATAAGTAGGCTGTTAATAAAATAAATAACGAGAAGGCTGACTATAATCAGCTTGCTTCCGTTTAGTGAGATAAGCCTACTCCTCACCTGAATTAGAAAAAAAGCTCTTCTGGTCTTCAGTGTTGCTGTTACGGAAGAGGTCTGACACAACAGGTTAGTGTATATACAAAACAGTTTATTGGGTCACAGTGAGTACTGGTGTCGGGTCCGGAGGAAATGATGGTGAGGGAAAGGTCTGTGAGAGAGTGCAAATGATATGGAGAGTGGAGTAATCCGAGTCTTTGGCTTGACTGAGGCTGTAAGGTATACGGGGGAAGCACACACACCTCAGCGATCCGGGAACTAGGAGATACAGGAGACGAGGAGACACTAGGAGGAACACAGGAGGTAAGTAATGGAAGAAGTATTCAAAGGTAATCAGTAGCAAAGTCATTGAGTCCTCTACGTGTATACGAGACCGGACAGTGAGGGTGTCTGAGGTGTGTGCTTTTATGCAGGCTGGTAATGAGGTGCTTGATTGGTGACAGGTGCAGGTGCTCAGAACTCAGGTGAGAGGGATCGTTGTGATTGGGTGGTGGCAGAGCCTGGCCGATCTGTTTCAGTTGCGAAGACAACGTTATCTGAGTGAGAGCAGAGCCAATTCATAAAAGAACAATGTATATAAGGGCTCCAGACTCATTCTTCCCACTGGTCGCTCTTTTTGCGACTAACTTTCTCAGTTGGTCGCACAAACACATGATTTGGTCGCAATATTTTTTAACAGGAGTTCCTCTTTTGCTGTGTTATAAGCCGGGTTTGGGGTGCTTTCACTTTCAAATTTGCGATCTTGTTGTCACGTTTTACAAGAAAATATCTACACACCTCACTTTTTAAGACTAAAACAAAATATGGATTCATTGTTATTCTTAATTAAAAAGCACAACAACAATAAAACAGTAAGATACAATGACAGACTAGCTTACAAAACATTTATTAACAAAAACGAATAAGATGAGGCATGGCATACACCACATGCTGTATTATATACAGACTAATACATTACAGTAGCCTACGTTTCACTGAGGAATCAAATCAAATCAAATAAAATAAAAGAGAGTCTCCATAGCGTAACGTGAGGTAAACAGGGAAGATAACAAGCTTTTCAAAATGAAAACAAAAAGAAAAGTAAAACTAAACTTGTTGTCGGTGACAGTGCTTGCATGTTTTTTCCCCCACAAGAATACCAACATGTTCACCTTCTCTGGTTTAAGAAGTCAAAGAGTCTTTTACTTGACTTTAGCTTGAAAACCTTCCATCGTTTCTTCAATATTCGCATCACTTTTGCTGCATGCACTTTCGCGCTCATGCTGACACGGCGAGTATAAACCAGGCTCTACTACACTCATGCGCTGTGCAGTTCAAACAAGTAGCACGGTTTTGTTATGCTTTCAGTGTTGTTTGATGTTTCTAAAAAAAAACTGAGATTGACTGGATGTGCCGTTAACGAAATCGCCTGTGCATTAATTTTAAATATAATTATATTCTAGAGCAGCTGCTGCGACCTCTAAAAAAAATCGCACCAGCAGGAAAAATGGTCGCAAAATGCAACTATTTGGTCGCAGTCTGCAGCCCTGTATATTTCAAAGCACACGTCCAGTTTTGTGTGAGTAAAGGAAATCCGCTTGTGAGTGGAGAGATTCATCCTCGTGCATTACATGGATCGTGTAACATTATGCACTCTCGACATTGTCATTAAGAGCACACTATATAAACCGCCTAAAATTAAGTATAAAGATGAGAAGAAAGCGGCCCTAGGCAGCTGCCTACACATGCCAGGATCCGCCACTGCCAGATGCAGTTAGAAATTTACTAAAAACAAGCCTATCGCAAAACATCTTGTAGGGGGGGGCACCTGGGGTGGCACGCCCCTGATATCAACGTAATAAAAAACATG